CCCAGAACGCTTCAAATGCAATCTAATTTTTTCTAATTTTTGGGGGAAAGAACACCCCCCCTCAAAGCTTGTTCGCTTCGCTCACTCGTGGCGTACACTCCTAAAATACCCACGCTACGCCACTGTAAGGGAATCTCCTCTTTTAGACTCTCAACAATAAAAAGAAATGGTGATCTGCAAGAAAAAAACACTTAATCTGTCCAAAATCCAAAACCTAAATTGCTAATAATTTATCAGAGTTTTTCCAACAAAGAAATTATATTGTAACAGGTTGTTTAACATGAAAACAGTTCTTAAGCAGATTGCCTAATAACAGTATAAAATCCTTATCTTTGACATTACTACATATACTAACATAAGAATTATACCATATGAGCAGCCGATTTGTCGTCTGCTCATGGATGGTATTTCACCTACTTTCTCTATTAAATTTGAAAGAATCCCCAATTTTTCTTTGATTTCTATATATTTTAGAGCATGGAGAAACATTCTATATCTTTTATTTAACATTGGTTCTCCTCCCTTGTATTCTATTTCTAAAACCAAAATATTGACTGGTGCGAAATTTCATATCTGAGCAAGACCTCCCTGATAAAACGCAGACTGATTAGGTCTTTAGAGAAGAAAGGAACATTGTAGAAGGTTCAGAAAAGTTCAAAAAATCAACCTATTAACATTTTTGTGGACCCTTCATTGCACAAGTGAAATCTGAGGCATTAATTAGGCAGTAAATCTTAAACTAGACCATTCATCACTCTTGTAGGTCTGGGGAAGATAAAAAGGAAAATAATCTTGAAAAGTGTCAAGGTGGTAATGTTTTTAAAATGAAAAATAGATTTGGAAAGAGCTGAATCAACAAGAAATAAAGCAAACAGGCATATAGTTAACACTCTAAATTGTATAGAAATGCAAGAAAATTAAACAGTTCATTCAAATTTTCGAGAAAAATTGGATAAAATCGGCATGATCATAACATTTCTTTCATAGGTAATAATCAAAACAAACTGATAAGAAATTAAGTAGAGAACAGAACTTAGACATGTGATCTTTTTGATACTGGTTAACCACTACATAATAATTATCAGAACAAATAAATGTTATCAAATCGTGAATAAATAAAGTGTTGAAATATCTCATGTTTTGTTTTGTCAATTTGGGATGCATAAGATGAAGACATAAAGACCACAACAGAGAATTCCCATTAGTTAAACCCTAATACATCAGAGCAAATAAACTGTCATATTTTTGAGATAATAATTTTAGCTATGAGTTTCTTCGTTCATATATTTCTTGCATCATAATTTAATGTAACAAATATAAAGTGTTCATGCATATCCTCTTAAGTCTTTTCCTTACCTCATCTCTTAATTGTAAAGCCCTAAAAACAATTCAAAAATTCCTACCTGATATAGCTGAAGTGATTGAATCATTTCTGAGTTTCTTGTACATATTTCCCGAACAATCCATATTTTGGGGTAAAGGTTAGCCTTCCAATCTATGTCCTATCTTTCCAAACTCAAAGAATTATTCATGGAAATAATCTTGAAAAATTTGATCTTTCCTCTTTTCATCTTTAACACGTCACAAACTTTTTTTCACATCCTCAGAGAGTCATGGAGGTTTTCAATTCAATATCCTAACCCTAACCTTGTGTCTCTTCAACTGAATTGTCTATTCCTATTCTTGCATTAAAGAATTTAAAGTGTTGACTTCATACATGTGTTTATTTATTGTCTGCTTTTCTTTCAAAAACATAACCTAAAGAATTTCTTACTGAGTTACATGTTGCATTGTAACACAGTGTTTAGCTTTTGTTTTCGATGTGAACTCATTCAAAAATGATAAGGTTAAATATAAAGGGTTACTTTTTGCAACATGGGGAATCTAGATAGTCCAGGGACAGGATATGGTGTAAGTTTCATTAAGTTAAAATTCTTAGGTTTTTTTGTGAAATTCAGACATTTCATTCGAATTCTTGGAAGAAATATTAGTAGAAAATAAGCTTGAACAATTTTGTAAGGGATCATTGATGGCCTTAAGATAATTTCCGGATGGTCATGTTTTAAAAATATGAAATAGAGTGGAAAAGAGTGGAATCAGCAAGAAATAAAGTAAACAGGCATGTAGTTAACACTCTAGATTGTATTGAAATGCAAGAAAATTAGGAACTTCATTCAAATTTTAGAGAGAAAATATGTGCAATGAGAATGACCTCTATGACCATATTTCTCAGTTGTGTGCTGGAGGCCTGAAGTTTTCAAGTTTCTGTGTTACTTACTCATCAGTCATATGCCCTGAGCTTATTGTGCAGGATAGTAAAAAACATCAGCTGGTCATATGTGTTTTGCAAAAATGTTACATTTTTTAATCCAAAAGAGAATTCTCCTAAAGGCCACAAATAGATTTAAATATTTTTTCTTATTTTAACATCATCATTGCATATTAGGTGAAAATATTTTACTATGTCTCCTCAAAGAATCTAAAACAATTTTTTCTCATTGTTTCTCAGTCTTATTAAACCTCTGTAGCTTCTCCCCCTTCTTCGTGTTACAGAGCTTGAAAGGGAAACAGGGACAGCTTCGATATTCATTCAAAAATGTTATCTATTCAGTTTAACAAATTTCTCTTGTCTCCTAATAAAATGTGCATGAAAACATGCCAAAGTGTCTTTTTTGTTTTGATAGAATTTTGTTTCACCTGACAAGAACAAACCAAATAAACAACATAATAGGTATATTTGCAAACTTATTGAACAACCTGGTATATTATTCAATAAGTTTGCCTTGCTTCAAATGGGCTTATTTGCCTTAAATTATTGATATAGACATAAACCAGCAATTTGTCTCCTCTCCAGATGACCAAACATGGTATTGTCTTTTTTATATGAAATTATTTTTTGAGGAAACCACAAAGGTCTAGGCATAATATCTTCTTTATTCAAGCAGATCAAAGAACAAGAGAGGGAAACCCCCATGATCCCTCATTAACATTACACTGAAGTCCATATCACCAAAGAGGTCAAAGAATTATGGGATACATCAGCTTCCCTTGCCAGGGTGATCAAATATCTCACAGAGTTGCAGAATTAGATTTTGGTTTCCAGCAATCATAACCACAATACTGATAGTGGAAAAGTTTGGAATACTTCCCAAACCACAACTATGGCCTTCTTTACCCAGATGTAAGGTCTTGGAAATAGTTCGGAAAAGTGATGCTAACCGAAATGCTGATTTTTGTATCATCTTTTCCGTAAATGTCCTTTGAAATATAAAGACTTTAAAATTTGAATATGGGGAAGAGTATGGAAGGGTAGGGGGGTAAGGGTGGATATACAATGTACTTATTATGCATTCAGATTATATATTTTATTTATACATAAAGTAATACGACAGAAGTGACACTTTGTAGCATCGATAGAACTCTAATAACAAATCTCATGAAATTTGTATGGAATAACAAATCAGTTGGGTCAACCATGTAACAATAAAGTGAGCCTTTAACTCCATGCTTTCCAAAGACCACACATTAGCCTTTAAGTCTATATTTTCCACCATTAAGACCACCATGGTATTTGTAGGAATGACTGGTCGTGATAGATTATTTGTACAACTCTCTGAGGAGTACAATCTTAGATACAGGTTGAAGAAAATACAAGCTTAATTAAGGAGTAGGAAGGTGGAAATCTGAATCATTAGGATAAACATTGACCAATATATAATATCTGAGACATGACTCCCACCATGAAAAGATGAGATGGCAGAACCATTATGATATCAAACACATGCAATAGTGACACCTATTACAACTCTACCATTTAAGCATTAGAGTGGGGCCTTTTTATTTTTCAAACATTTACATATATATATATCATAAATTTGAAGGGGGTCTTAATGCCTTATCTAAACATTACCCCAAATGGATGAGCATTAAATATAACTTAAATACAGTTAAACCTGTCTAAATAGAACACCTTTGGTACCTATAAAAGGTGTTCCACTTTAGAGGTATGTCACTAGAGGTTCATTTAACATTACGTCAGGTGGTCTTAGGATGCTGTAAAATTTGTTCCACTAATAGAGGTGTTCCACTTCCAGGAGTGTTCCACTTTACAGGTTTTCCTGTATCTTGGAAGATCACAGCTGCTTGTTTAGTAACTTTGCAAGCAGAAGTTTGACCTGAAGTATCCTTATAAATCAGTTAACAAAATAAGTCTGTGTTTGTAGCAATTAATGCTTTGTAATTACCTTACCCATCAATCAATTAACCATACCTGTGTTCATAAAGGGACCAAGTCAAAAGGAAAAATTGCCCCCTCTGTTAAATCTGATCAAATATTTAAGTTACATTAAATTATTTCTCATTCCATGTTTAATATTTTTCCAAAAGTTCACAAATAAATTTTTCAAACATAGGGTAACTTGACATGACCCCTAAGTGAGTCAAGGCACTGATGAACTGACAGACATTACTTGTACCAATATAATCTTACCAATAAGTAGTCTGTTTATGCTTATTGACTCCATTTCTCAATCATCGAAGGAACAGATTTTTTGGTTTCTTTTTCGTTTTGCCAGAATTTCAGAAACAACCCCCAAAGACCATCATCACAATCATGAAAATAATCCAATCCAATATTCCCAATTAATCATGGATCCATCATTGTAAAACCCCAAAATCATAAAACTAATTGATTTTCCTCAATCAATAAACTTATTGCCAATTTGACATATTTCCAACTTTCTGTTTAAGTCATACAACATGGTTTTCATCAACTTATATGGCTTAGGCTTAACCTATAAGAGTTCGTTATTAAACATAGAAAAGTAGAAAAAGCTGCAATTTTGTAGTGATTTTTTACCTCAAGCAAGATTTTAATCCTAAAAATTAGCTAGATTGTGGTTATATGTACATAATACGGCTGTGTAAAATAAATATATGTTACGCAACCATATCAAATTCACTTGCACCACAGTCATATGAAAATACGACCTTAGACTCACCTGAATCGTATTTCTTAGTCCCATTTGTAGAGTGGGGTCTTTGTGCTTTATCAAGGGGGTGTTGTCCTCCACTGACATCTTCAGGTGTCAGGTAACCACAGCTCTCATCTAAGGCAGTAGACTCAGCCATATTTCCTTAACATTTGTATTTCATTCGGAATGTGATATGCCAGGTCAAAGATACTGAAAAGAAAGAAAGAAGATTTTACTTTGGAATGTTGAATATTCTTATTTGCAGGACCAAAAGAGGATCAAAAATACAAAATGTTTTTATTTGCCCTCAATTTCTATCCTCTCTGTTTCACTTATATCAGTACAGCATTAGCTACATAATTCCTCCATAATATATATATAAACTGATTAAAAATACATAATCTGTAAACAGAAAATATGTCTGATATGAATGTTGATGAGATAAGCTTAAATCCAGGCCATAGTAAGATACAGTATTCACATTTAGAGGTTCAACATGGGATATAACAAATATCCAACAAGGCATTGATATGACAAAATTTCAATGCCTGGAGAAGTGTAACACTTGTTACAGATACTAAATAACAGTCATAGAAACTGTGGCTGTTACCACTATTTCAAGTATGAAATGAAACAGGAAAAGTGCTTCAAATTTGAGGGACAAGTGACTTCATTTTAGAGCAAGTTTTACTGTAACACCATGTCGATAAAGCTTATTGACAATTTAACATGATTAAAGCCTACTAAAAGTAACCAAATATAAGCAATACATATTTTTATCAATGATATCTGCAATGGTAAAATATTTACCAGGCAAATATGTCCTGACTTTTTATAGGCTGACCTTGTTTAAGTGTCACATAAACACCCTTAAACTATTTTAATCCTAAAATATCATATTTCTAAATAGGAATTAAAGAGGCAAATATTTAGGTAATGGGAAAAGTGTAACTTTTATTCATTGGAAGGGGTAAACGGGATTATCTTTTGATCTTCCTTCGATTTTTCTTTAGTCTTGCCTCAAGACCGTGGACCCCCCCCCTCCCTTATCTACTTCTCCAACAGAACATACAGGTCACAAAATAGGAGGGGGGGGGGGTCCAGGGTCTTGAAGCAAAACTAATTTTTCTTCAAAAATATTATTTTCTGTTGAAACTAGTAACAACAACAATGGTTCAGATATAAACCCGCGAGAAGATATTATATACCATATACTTATGGTATCTTTAGAAACCCATAATGATTATAATTCACTTGAATTAAGAGACATTGATATATAGATATATACAAGGCATTAACATGACAAAATGTCACCACCTAGTTGCTCACAATATTATGAGTTCAAACTTAAGTCAGATTTGAATTTCTGAGAACTTGTAAAGTCAAATTTGAACTTCTGAAAAGATGTAGATGATTTTGAAAAAAAAATTGGTCAATTTGAAGCAAGTTGAAAACAGACCTTTTTGACCTTTTTTGACCTTGAGAAGGTCATTAAAGGTCAAATGTCAAATCTAAAGTCAGATTTGAATTTCTGAGAACATGTAGATGATTTTGAAAAAAATAATTAGTCAATTTGAAGCAAGTTGAAAAAAGACCTTTTTGACCTTTTTTTACCTTGAGAAGGTCATTGAAGGTCAAATGTCAAATCTAAAGTCATATTTGAATTTCTGAGAACATGTAGATGATTATGAAAAATTTTTTAGTCAATTTGAAGCAAGATGAAAAAATACCTTTTTGACCTTTTTTGACATTGAGAAGGTCATTGAAGGTCAAATGTCAAATCTAAAGTCAGATTTGAATTTCTGAGAACATGTAGATGATTTTGAAAAAAAATTTTAGTCAATTTGAAGCAAGTTGAAAAAAGACCTTTTTGACCTTTTTTGACTTTGAGAAGGTCATTGAAGGTCAAATGTCAAATCTAAAGTCAGATTTGAATTTCTGAGAACATGTAGATGATTTTGAAAAAAAAATTTAGTCAATTTGAAGCAAGTTGAAAAAAGACCTTTTTGACCTTTTTTGACTTTGAGAAGGTCATTGAAGGTCAAATGTAAAATCTAAAGTCAGATTTGAATTTCTGAGAACATGTAGATGATTTTGAAAAAAAAAATTAGTCAATTTGAAGCAAGTTGAAAAAAGACCTTTTTGACCTTTTTTGACCTTGAGAAGGTCATTGAAGGTCAAATCTAAAGTCAGATTTGAATTTCTGAGAACACGTAGATGATTTTGAAAATTTTTTTTAGTCAATTTGAAGCAAGTTGAAAACAGACCTTTTTGACCTTTTTTGACCTTGAGAAGGTCATTGAAGGTCAAATCTAAAGTCAGATTTGAATTTCTGAGAACACGTAGATGATTTTGAAAAAAAAATTTAGTCAATTTGAAGCAAGTTGAAAACAGACCTTTTTTGACCTTGAGAAGGTCATTGAAGGTCAAATGTCAAATCTAAAGTCAGATTTGAAGGTCAAATGTCAAATCTAAAGTTAGATTTGAATTCTGAGAACATGTAGATGATTTTGAAAAAAAATTTAGTCAATGTGAAGCAAGTTGAAAAAAGACCTTTTTGACCTGGAGAAGGTCATTGAAGGTCAAATGTCAAATCTAAAGTCAGATTTGAACTTCTGAGAACATGTAGATGATTTAGAAAAAAATTGAAGTCAGTCTAAACAGTATTTGTTAAGTTATAGGAAGTTGTAAGAAATTGTTACAGACGCCAACCGCCGGACGCCAACCACCAACCACCGGACGCCAACCGCCGTCGCAAAAAAAACGGAGACCATAACAATATGTCACCACTTTTGGTGGTGACATAATAACCGAAGGGTCAAAGTGACATCCATTTAACCAGTGAATATAATTAAAAAACATTAGAAAAAATAAACATTCTTTAAACATGAGTTTTTTCTTTATATACACATCACGATTAATACCTTTAAAAGAAACTCCCTCATATGTATATATTTGGTCCAATGTATTTTTACCTGAATGAATTAGATGGCATTCGTAAATAGTGAACTACTGACTATCCTCAGATTCAGAAGTATAGTACAAGCATACCATACCGAGATGAAAACACAATATCAACAGCAAAATGTCACTACCTGCCATTTGTTACAGACACCAAACACAGACAACCAACTGCCAAACACTGTCCACAAAAAAGTTGGAGACTATAAAAATATGTGTGTCTCACCAATTCTTGTTGTGACATAAAAATGCAAACCCTGATTATTGTAAATTGTATATTTGTTAATTGTAAATTATAAATCAGGTACATATGTACATGTCATTTAAAACAGAGTGGTGAAATTAAAGTCAATTATAAAATTATGGGGATATTCAAGAAGCAGGTAAAGCTAATCTGAAGTGAGCGGTGCAACTTGTATCAGGGTGGAGGTATCACCGCTCAATATTGCCTCATGGGGAATACTGATTTCTAATGTTGATTTTGTTCAAATACATTGAAATTCAAATTGACACAAGTTTAAAATTGTTCAACTAGAATTGACCTCTTCGTGATTTACAAGAGATTATCGAAACTTTAACTTAAATACAACTTCCTTGTTTACAATTTTTGCAACACTATTTTTTAATGTTTATTTACAGTAGAATGATCGATACTTTATGGCACACATAAAACACTTGTAATAAATGCTATTATATACACAGTACCTAACCTAAAGTTAACTTGAAATTAATAGCGGAGTTTAACATATAATACAGTTGCAAAGAAAGTGAAGAATACATCCTACCAACAAGCCATTAACATGCAAAATGCCAACAAAAAATCCAAAATGCCAAACACCAGCCACCACAAAAAGTTGGAGATTATAACAATATGTCACCAGTTGTGGTGGTGACATAATAATTTAATCATTGATCTTACATGTTAGTACACTTCACCCTATTGTTATTCATTCATTAAAATGATGAATTTAACTGAGATATATTTAATCAAAAACATAAAAATTAGGATTTAAAACCCTACTGATCGGTAAAAACATAAGGAAATACTGTAAATATATCAGTCAGAGATTGACATGGTAACAGTGAGCTTGATCACAAACTCGGTATTCAGTTTTTTCAGATGAGCCTGAGATAAGTCCATAGCACAGAATTTCATATGTTTCCATTATAACCCATTGCCACGGTATAATGATCGTGGGCCCTATAGATGTGTTGCATCTTTCATTTAATATTCACTACTTTCATTCAATCATAGTTAATTGAATGAAATCAAAAGTAATATACAAGTGATAAAAATGAAAGTGATAACTTTTATAAAATATATACCTTAAAGGTAAATAATCACAACTGATCTTTCTTCTGAAATGTTGGTGTTGGACTGGTAGAAAATGGACATGAAATGGAATGAGTTAAAAATATTGAAAATTGTAACAATTTTATTGGAATTCACTTTTTAGTCATTTGGTGATTTTGTAAACCTATATGTAAATGCAAATCTACAGACCTAAAGGCACGCCTGTCCGGGAGCTGTAGTATTCAATTCAATGCCCCATACGGGAATCAAACCCAGGACCCTCTGCCCACAAGTCAGATGCCCTACATATGAGCCATAAGTACACCATCCCCCCTGAAGGAGGACGTCCTGTCGTAACTGATACACAAGGGTTATCCTAATGTTGCCACTACTGTTACCACCTGACGGCACACCCCTCCAGGATGCTGTAGTCTAATGAGCCAGAAACTAGAGTGAAAGGGAGTGTGCTTAATGCAATGCCCCGTACGAGAATCAAAAAAAATAATGAAAAATTCTGTTTCTCAAAGGACATGTGTGAGTTTATCAGCTTGCATATCAACCAAATCTAAAAAAGGACCACTCTACAAGACGATCAGATACTTTCCCAAAGGGAGGTGTGGTTTTACAATTTTTACTGGAAGTATAGTCATATGACATCAGATATATGCTGATTTCATCTCAATGATTATGATCTGATAATTTCCATTTTTCATCTGAATTAGGCAATATGTAGGAAGCACTGCGTAAAGTTACAAAGATCACTGAGCACAATTGAAAAATAAAGTGATTTCTGTTATACGACAACTTCATATTACAGGGGTTTCATTAGCAGCAGACAAAAGGCGATCGTTGTTTTCACAAAATCGCCTGTTGTTAAAGGACTTTTCAACTTTTCCATGTAATTTTATGATTTTCATTAATTTTGCCTGTTGTTTTCAATTATTTAGCCTTTTTGTAAGAAATTATAGTGAAAACCCTGTATTACATGCAAAACTTGTTTAGATTGGATTGACTCACAGTCCAGGCCCACAGTGTAAATAATTAGATATCTGCGATATAACGCTCTGACTTATCAAACACTCCCCAGATTGCAGATCAAGTCGTAGTAGCCTTTCTCATACAGATAAAGATACAGAATTTCTGTAAGTCTAAAAAATGGCTTACTTTATCTCAACCTCAAAGTGTCATCAGGAATATAATATGATTATGACGGTACAATATGGTAAGTTACAGCAAGGACGTCCTTACTTACAGTCAGCAGTCACTGACAAAAATCAATGTACAAAAAAAGTTTCAAACTTTTTTATCAAAAAATGTCAACAATTCGAACACTCGCTTATTTACTGAAAATAAAAACAGTTGGTCTTACCTAAAACTTCTACTTGAACAGTGCTGCTTTGTGATATTGTACAGAATATGTTTCAAGATGAAAGACAGCTTAAACTGAACATAACATCGAAATTAAAACTCAAAATAAAAAACAACCTGTTTTAAATAGCGCAACATCCGGGCCTTTTCAAAATGTCCTCGAAAGTTTTAGCGGGAAATTTAAAAGTTTGAAAGTTTCATATTATGATAAGCGCACGGGTCATTTGTTTCAATTTATTTGGTCAGTTTCACATTCATTCATACTTAACCACATGCACGAATGCGTTCTATTCAAGAGGAAGTGATAGAAGAATCCCCATATGAATCTCTGTAAGGCTCGACGGCCCTATTTTCATGGTTAATTTTCTAAAAATGTCACCCGAATATTAGATCTACATGATCATGGACTGGAAATTCCATATGAAACGCTGTCCTGTTCAATTCCAAAATATATTGAATGCGAGGTGAAACCTCATATTATCTTTGGATTTACATATGATGCTAATACTTAAAAGTGCCAGGCTGCAATAATATTCCATAGAGACGGAATGCGCAATTTGACAACGCGGCCAGTGTATAGCAATTGAACTATTCATTTAATTATAGATGTCACATAAGTCCAATTCGAAAATATGTGTATGGCTTGAATATTGTTATGTTTTAACAATAACTCCTTTGTAACAATGAGTCCTCTAGCACTACACATTCATGAATATGGTGAAAAGGACAACAAGGGCAACAAGGGGAGACCGGGGCAAAACGCAACACGGGGCAAGAGGGCGACACTCGATTTTTCAAAAGCGTTTGTTTAGAGCGTTTATCATAAGTCGCCGTGTCTGACGCCAGTTGAGAAATTGCAGAAAACAGGAACGCATTGGCGGGAAAATGTAGGTTACTTAAACTTGAATTTTGGACTAAGCCTACCTTGATTAATCGTATCACTTTCAATGATTGCCTGTAAATCAAAAAGTATCTAGGCCTGTAGAACATCCCCGAAATGAATCGATGATTCTAACATCTCATGCATCCACTTCACTTAAATAGATGATAAACAGTTCAGAAAGCATTCCATATGCAGAGGCATTCTGAAAACATGTAAAAGAAATATGGCTAATGCTCTGGGCGGGGAACATAACCATATAGCCTACGAGACAGCTGGCAAAACGCATTTTGATACTCATAGCAAAGTTCTGTTTCTCAGGGCTGAGCAGATTTGAGATGTCATGGTTTATCATGATGGGCAAAACGGCACAACTTAAAATATCGAGACACTGGCGGATCCAGGGGGGCCCAAAAGTTTTGTAGGGCCTCAAAATGGCCCTTTTTGGGCATAGGATTTGGCCTTTATAGGTCTTCTTAGGCCAAATGATCAAATTTGGCCTATAATTTTCAAAATTTGGGCCCAATTTTTGGTTTATGGGTCCAAAATTTATACCTGACTCAAAATGCCTCCTCCTTGTTAGTTCCTGGATCCATCACTGTGAGAGAAACCGTTTGCCCGGAGTTAAGTTATAAATGAAGCTCATTGGATATGCATATGGGATGAGGAGTGGCCGTGAGAGACCTAGGCTACGTCACGATTTTATAACAAAAGTTTTTTAATGCCGAAAAAGTGTCCCGTTGGCCCCCGGTCCCCTTATTATTTCATTATAGTAAAATAGAAAATTTCTTGTAGGGCAGTATATGGATTTTCTGATTTTTTTTCTTTCTTGCAAAGTTGGGTATAAATAGAAGTTAGGAGAATTTGTAACATAGCCAGACATGACGGCAACATGGTGGCGTCAAGTCGTCAATATTGGAAAATCAAACTCCAAAAATACAGTTGTAATGCGACCTTACTAGGGGTATTGATGGTACTGAAAATACAGCTAAGCAAAAAGAACAAAGGACAGAGGGTATTTACAAGGATAACAATCGGATAAAATCAACACGGTTTACAACATCAAATATTTATTTACAACATATAACAATACATGCATACAGTAATATAAAACAAGCCACAGACAATAAGAGATAAAATGGAAATGCTAATAACGAGATCCAACCCCGGAGCGCCAGAGGGCTAAGCCACGCCCTAACTTCCGTTATCGTAATACATCTAACATTATCAAGTATTTGATCTCAAACTACCAGAAGTGATAAAGTCAAAGGCATACCTTGTTGTACTATACCTAATGTACTTCCGTATATCAAACCTAGTACCAATATCCAATACTCAACAAAGCATGGTCCAAAATCCAAACATCAAACAAGAAGCCACAATCACATAGTCTTCATCGTATCCTGCCCTCTGGTCAACTGACGAACTCAACCTTGTGCAACTCACACATAAAATTCAGCTGTACCAAAACCGGTTTAACCAATCAGAGCTCTTTATTTCAAATATCGTCATACGACAAATTATAGTGTACTAGTTTTTAGCGACAGATATCAATCTAAATAAATACCTAGTTCTAATAGCAGGTTTCTATAATGCTGTTCTATTTTCACGACGTTAGCATTGTTTGGAAGTTAAAAACATGAAAAGCCTTATCAAGCAACCGTTACACAACTCCCCTCCTTCTGAGAAGATGGCGTCCTCGCCAAAAATCTAAATCATAATATAAAATATAACGGTTGCGTTAATTATCAAATCAATCAAATAACATTAAAATATACGGATCATCTAATCCTCTAATCTCAATCTTTATTCCTAGTCTTTACCAATAATGTCTATATACAAATACAATGTGTCACCATCATTTTCCGTGAATCAAAACCCAAATCAAAATAACTAAACTAGTCTAACAGACTGTAATTCCATGTTAATCAGAATAGTTAGTGTTATTGTTTATACTCCAGTTCATTATGTATAAGTATGTTGCTTTATTACGTTGTTATGCTCAGTGAAACCCCATTTTAAGTTACCCTTCTCCTTACGAGAATCTAACTGGCATTCCTAACTCTATATCCCAATTTACTGTAATGCATGACACCTCCCCATAGCACAATCTAACGTGCTCAACCACTTAGTCCTATTACAATTCAGCAATGCCTGAACACATCTGTTCAATATGATATGTATTCAGTCCGGTTCTGATCACAAAGTCATATCCCTACTATTTTCAGTTGAAGAAAACAAAGATGAAAATTTCCATTTACAAACAATTGGTTATCGATTCACTCATTACATTCACAATCTCATTTATTCAAGGGGTAGCTAGTCCCATATCATGCATTCAACCAATCCCTTGGAATGTATCGTTTCCATTAGTGTATCCATCACTTCTGTCAATTCAACTTCTTAAATCTACTTGCTTCTCATTCATAATTCGTGCATGTAAACTATTATCAAGTTTCACTTTCGCAAGCAAGATTGCCATATATCCATACAGACAAGTTTTGCACTAAAGGCATAGCAAAAGAGAAATTTGGTGAAGCATAACGAGTGTTACAGTTATCTATGGTAATCATATTCGGGCAAGCAGTAACTTGCATGATCACAGATATTCGAGGCCAAAACTGTTAAGCTTCTTACTCCAGTGCTTCTGCGTGACACAACTTAAACTATACTTCAAAATGGTACATACAACATAGGCAATCCATTTGCCAAAGCCACCCAGCCATAGGCATCTCAAAATCACTATGTACAAAATCTCGTATGTCATCCTCATTTCATATCGTTTTGAATTATACAAATTTACTAACAGCAATCAAAGTTTTCAGTTCAAAATAGTAACAAACGTGAACCAATTCCTCTTGTAAGTAAACGTATATGTGCACAAACCAAAATGCCATTTATTCAAACAACTTATCTAATATCAACACTAAATTAACAAACGCATGTTTTTATGTTTTTCATATTTTAATTTAAAATTTGTCCTCCTCTAGCAGAACCATGATTTAAACCATGTATTTTCTACACTATCATATCTAATAGTTCCTACTTAACAATTGGGATTTCATTGTTTCTAATGAATGACTTGGAGAAATCATTTAAGTTCTCCCAGGGCTCAAATGTGTTTGCCGAGGAATCGTATCCCTCCCATTTGCACAAATATTCCCATTGTCCACGTTTCTTCCTCTTCCCTAAAATTTCCTCAACTTGGAAATATTCTTCTTCTTCATCTGATTCATTTTCATTATCCACATTTGTGGAAGTATTGTCTGTATTGGGATGACTTTCATCCTCAGTGTCATGAGTTGGTGTTACTGGGGTAACTTCTCTATTTGCATTATTTTCTTTCTGCTCCCTTTCTTCACCACTATTCTCCTTACTTTTGAACCATGTTGGTTTTTCATCTCCTTTGTAAGGTTTTAAACGGTCTATATGCACCACTGTTGGTTTGCTTCTTCTTGATCTCTGTATTCTGTATGTTATATCACTGATCCTTTTGGTAATTATATATGGACCTTGGTATGGTCTCTGTAGTTTTGGTGAAATTCCAGGTTTTCTCAAGGGGCAATGAAGCCATACAGCATCTCCTTCATGCATCGTGGTAGGAGCTGCTTTTACATCATAGATTTTCTTTTGTCTCATACTATTTCTCTTTAGTGTTTCCCTGGCAAAGGCATGTGTTGTTTCCATTCTCTCTTTCAAAGAGGCAACATAATCTGTTTCTGAATCTTTCTCATCTTGTGGTGGTCCAAACACCATATCCATGGGGAGGTTAAGCTGCCTCCCTAACATCAACTCGCATGGAGTAAATTGAGATGATTCATGTACTGATGTCCTGTAAGCCAACATTAGGAATGGAAGATACTCATCCCAATCTTTTTGATGTTTGTCCACAAACATGCTCAGCATGCTTTCCAATGTTCTATTGAACCGTTCTACCATTCCATCAGAACAAGGTCTGAGAGGAGTTGTTCTCGTCTTGGTAATTCCAAATGAATTACAGACTTCTTGGAATATTTTACTCTCATAGTTCCTCCCTTGATCACTGTGCATAGATAACGGGCATCCCCATCTATATATGAACTCTTTGCTAACAATGTCAGCTATGGTTTCAGTCTCTTGGTTAGGAATGGCGTATGCCTCCGTCCATTTGGTGAAATAGTCAGCTACTATGATTATGTATTTGTTTCCTTTGTTTGTTGTTGGTAATGGTCCTAAAATGTCTGTTGCTATTCGTTCCATTGGAACCCCTACCTGATACAGTTT